CGCTCAACCGCTGCTATTTCAGTTTTGAACTTATTCTTGGCTCATAATTTTCAAGTTGAAAATGAAAATCGTGTCTTACGTTGAAGTGTTGCTCTTATTCCATTCTTGAGTATTGTTTCATGCATTACACTTGGAATATTCATTCTCCCAAGCATGTTTTTCCTTTTTCCGTTTTAAGCCCTGGACTTGAATTTGGATAAAGTGTTACTCAATCAAAATAGGCATATCCGTAAGTAAGCCTAAGGCTTAAAAATATGCAGTCCCGGTAGGCGAGAGTAATGTATTTTGCGTACACCTCAGTTGATTGATATCGTGACAGTTGAGATTTCGCTTGTTCGGGGCTCTATATTTCCAATTATACCCATCAGCATGTATTAACAATGTGCAAGCGATTGATAAATACTAGTTTAGGACCCAACAAAATTATGAAGAGCCATGTACCATGCATTGTAAATGTCAACTCGCCACGGAGCTTGGCGCACGTGCAACAGCGGCAGAGAACGCATTCCTCGTGCATCACGCAAGGTCGACTCACGCAGTATAAATAGTTCTGGTTAATTTTTCAAAAAATTTCAACTACAGAATATTTTGTCAAAGTGTAAAAGTAGGGATGAGTTTTAAGTAGGGGAATATCCTCGTAACTCTCCATTCCTTGAAAATAATGGGCCTCTGCTCCATTATTTTTAAGGAATGGGGAGTTACTCGGACATTCCCCTCTACATCAATCACCTAAATATTCCTTGCACATGACCATGGGCCTATTATGAGCAAATATTGTAGTGATCAATATGATAGATTTTATATTTTCGTTTCTTTTAACAAAAAGCAGCCAAATTACACACGTACAAGGCAAAGAAATAATATAAAATGTACTGCATAACTAGCATAGTTCAAGTTTCATAAGAGGAAAAAAATGGTTTGCTTGGCCAGGAGTATTATTATACCTCTGGGGTATTGGGAATATTAGCGATGTAAGACAACGGTTACTTCATCATCATTCTAAGTTGTAACCTGTCTGTGTTGATCATGAAGGCAGACAACACCTCACTTTTATCACTGTAGCTGTTCACCACATCAAGTCATTCAGATTTGCATCATACGGAGAAACCTATGGAATACTGTAAGGGACATTATCGCGACCTCGCATTCTCGTGTTTTGGGCATATTTAGCTCGTTTCCAAAGGGCGAGATCGCGAGAATGTCCCTTACGGTATTCCATACAAACCATTTGTTGAGCCATGTTACCAGGGTACAGTGGCGATCATGTCACACATTGTCAATTGTAACTTGTTATTGTGATTTCACCCTCATCTCCACTGGTGAAGTATACTACTCAAAAGAGGTTAGAGAAGACACACTAACTATAGTCATACGAATAAATCTGGTGCTCTTTAATTTCTTTTGAGTAGTATATATTCTGTCAAACGCTATTCACCACATCAAGTCAATCGACCCGTGAAGATCTGGGGTAGAATAGGTCTTCAGCAACCCATGCTTGCCGTAAAAGGTGACTATTCTTGTCGTAAGAAGCGACTTACGGGATCGGGTGGTCAGGCTTGCTGATGCATGTAATATTATCCCAATTGCGTGGATCGATGCTCATGATGTCAATCACTGGATTGTGGCGTTGAACAACAAACAAACAAACATTACGTCCACTGGTGATGTATACTATTTAAAAGAACCGAAAGAAGACACACTAACTATAGTCATACAAATAAATCTGGTGTTCTTTAACTTCTTTTGAGTAGTATGTATTCTGTCACTTGTTTGGTTGTTATATTATCCAAATTTATGTAATTAACAGGTGAGTGAGTGAGTATGTTTTTACGCCTCTATATTCAGGCAATATCATTGCGTGTGACACCAGAATAGGGCTCTACACATTGTACCCATGTGGGGAATTGTACCCGGGTCTTCGGCGTGACGAGTGGACGCTTTAACCATTAGGCTACCCCACCGCCCTGTGACTAATAAGAGAAGTGCTGGGTAGGATTCTATGCCTCATGCCCAATTTGTAAATTGTTTTCTAGTTGATAATTCATTTTTGGATTACAAAAAAAATTAAAAAAACAAAAACCAAACATAGGCTATACATGAACCTTTACAATGTCAACCACATGTTAAGGAACCCATGCTTGCCGTAAAAGGCGACTATGCTTGTCGTAAGAGGCGACTAACGGGATCGGGTGGTCAGGCTCGCTGAATTGGTTGATGCATGTGATATTATCCCAATTGTGTGGATCGATGCTCATGATGTCAATCACTGGATTGTGGCGTTGAACAACAAACAAACAAACATTACGTCCACTGGTGATGTATACTATTTAAAAGAACCGAAAGAAGACACACTAACTATAGTCATACAAATAAATCTGGTGTTCTTTAACTTCTTTTGAGTAGTATGTATTCTGTCACTTGTTTGGTTGTTATATTATCCAAATTTATGTAATTAACAGGTGAGTGAGTGAGTATGTTTTTACGCCTCTATATTCAGGCAATATCATTGCGTGTGACACCAGAATAGGGCTCTACACATTGTACCCATGTGGGGAATTGTACCCGGGTCTTCGGCGTGACGAGTGGACGCTTTAACCATTAGGCTACCCCACCGCCCTGTGACTAATAAGAGAAGTGCTGGGTAGGATTCTATGCCTCATGCCCAATTTGTAAATTGTTTTCTAGTTGATAATTCATTTTTGGATTACAAAAAAAATTAAAAAAACAAAAACCAAACATAGGCTATACATGAACCTTTACAATGTCAACCACATGTTAAGGAACCCATGCTTGCCGTAAAAGGCGACTATGCTTGTCGTAAGAGGCGACTAACGGGATCGGGTGGTCAGGCTCGCTGAATTGGTTGATGCATGTGATATTATCCCAATTGTGTGGATCGATGCTCATGACATTAATCACTGGATTGTCTGGTCCAGACTCCATTATTTACAGACCGCCGTCATACAGCTTGAATATTGCCGAGTGCGGCGTTAAACAACAAACAAACAAACAATGACGAAATGTGGGTACGACAGAGGAGGTACGTCGATATCCCAGGTTGCCCAAAAAGTAGAATTTCTCGAATGTTGGACAAGCACCGTCAGACGGATGGAGTTGTGAAGTGGGCGTTGCCGGCCTATGAAAAGGACACCTAGACAAGATAATCTGATTTACATTAATGAATCAAAGTTTTGCCTCCGATTAACAGATTGCAGAAAACCAACCAACAAACGTGTAATGGAAATAAATGTGCAGAGTTACCTTACTTAGGCACACCGGTAATCTATGAGATTGGTTTCAAATCCCGGTTCGCCACGATTGTTTCTAGGTTTGTCAGCACCATATCGGTGCTTGTGGGTTTCACCATAGTGGTAAACGTCTGAAACTTGCATCCAAGGAAGCTGCCATCGGCTACTGTTGTTGAAAAAGTTGTCTCAACACAGGAAAATTATTTTCCCTTTGGAAAATAGAATTGCCAGCGATGCACTCTTGTGGGTTTTTTTGTACGGCAGTAACCTTGGTAAATAGAGTTTATTATTGCTTAGCACTTTCTCCATCTAAGGACACATTTCTTTTCATCTTTTAAATCCACAGAAAAGCTTATGTTTGTTTCAGCCGCTTCACTGGATTTAAAAACCGAACAGCACAGTTACCTCCCATGGCAGGCCCGGATCCGCTGTGCATTTGTTCATTCCCTATATGCTCTGATTATGAATGAACTCACGCTTATTTGCACCACACCAACATACCCTACTGTGAACGTCTACAATATAAAACTGACACGGGGGCACGCCAGAAACCTATGATTGTGGGTTCGAATACCGGCTCGCCCCGATTATGTTTCTAGGTTTGTCAGCACCGTGATATAACTGGAATACTGTTGAAAGCTGCGTTAAACTCAACTCACTCACTCACTCACTCAAACTGACACGAGGCGAATTGATGGATCAGGTGGTCAGGCTCGGGGACTTGGTTCATCGCATAAATAGTTGAATGCATATAATTAATATATAAAGATGTAACAGAAGAAATACTATTTTATTTTCTTAATAAATGTACCATCTACCACAATAAATGTATTGACGACAAATAGTATTATCATATAATGGATAGGTTTCTCGGCAGGATAAAGCCAACGGATAAAAATGATATCCGTTGGGATCATATGCGGATAGAGATGCAAATATCAAAGGTCAAGTAAGGACTACTTTCAGTGTCTATAAACAAACATGGCGTCGCCCTTGTCATTCGGCAATCGAGTCAGAATTAATCATCGGGAATCTGGATAAACTACAGAGATAATTGCTGACATTATTAAAAGTACAGTCTGAAAAAACTTAAATCAGGGTCTAACTGTGACGTAGCTAAGGCATTTTTATAAGTTTTGGCAACTTTGGAGATATAAATTTCGAAACAATTTTGCGAGGGCACTGGGCCTAGCCAAGCGGGATCAGTAGCCATATCTGTGCTTGTAGACCTCTGCGGCTTGAAACCTTCTCCACAAATTAAAAAAGTTGGATTTTTTGCCGAAATATGTTTGAATTGTTACCTTGTTTCGTTTTGTCGCTGTGTGTACATCTGATTGCTCTTCTTAACGTTATGACAGGACAGGCCGACTATCAACAACGTCTGAACGTGGCCATGACGTCTCATAGACTAGGGTTAGAGTAGCTTCCCTTTGGCAAAGAGCAGTTACCCTAGCGGAAAGACCGATGGATTGCCGCGAAATGCAAGTAAAATCAATTGTTGTTTTGCATATATGTTGCTTCGCCACTGTATAAGAAACAGATTTCAGTTGGAACTATATTGGCTAATGTCACTGTCCGACTGACACACTACTTACCCTGTGACGTAATAAATATTAATGCGCGCATTCAAGAAAACTCGCAATGTTTAGGTAAATAGGTGAGAGAGGGAAAGCGATTTTCAAACACAGAATTAAAAATGACAATATATGATAAAGAGGTTATCACGTTTGTGTGTTTGGGGGAAGGTAAATATCCTGTATTAGGAATAAAAACTATGTATTTAGCTCGCCAAGGCTCGCCAAATACAATGTTTATTCCTAATGCAGGATATTTACCATCCCCAAACACACTCGAGTGATAACCTCTATTTATACACTATGTAGATAATACTACTAAATGACACCACACCAATTATAAAATTACGACCCCACTTTCCTCATCGTCTGCACCATGGCGATCTCCTGACAACTGGTTCTCATCATGCCGAATTTTGATTTATATTGACAGGATCCTAGGTTTTTGTGTGTCAAAAAAATACGGAAACCAATTTCATGTAATTGTCTCAGTGTCCTCAAGTATCCCACATACACTTCAGCCGGAGGCTCGTAAATGTATCCAGTTTTTATGATCCAGCTGTGGAGCTCCAGATCCAGGGTGGCGACGTCATCCAGGAAGCCGCTCGCAATGGCTTGTGGGAGAACTTTCCATTCCCAGTGTTCGATGTCCATCTTAAAGACATCAACACGTCGCTGAAAGAAAATACAAAACATGCACACATATGCATACATTATGGATATAAGCGATGTTCAAAGAAACAATATAGATACTAATGATTGGATTTATCAATTTAGAAACTTGCTTTTATGTCAGTTCCAGTTCCACTATGATCCCACGATACCAGATAGTGAAGCTCAGAATGATCCAAATCGAGAACTTACAAAGAATACTTACAAATATTTGACTCTCCAATATCTAGGGATGAGATTCTAGATAGCATAAGCAATCTTAAATTTAACAAGGCAGTCATATATATCATACTATCCCTGATTTGTTTAAGTATTCAGCAGATTTATTCCTACTATATCTGGATCTAGTATTTAACACAATTTCTGAAACTTGACACTTTCCAGCATCCTGATCGATTGACATTAATTGCTTTCCAAATACACAAACAAGGTGATATAAATAATGCAAACAACTACAGAGGTGTTGCTCTCCTTAGAATATTCAGCAAAATATTTACCTCCAGTATAAACAAAAGGTTAGTTTTCTGGGCTGATACTTTGGATGAATTTAGCGAGACACAAGCAGGCTTTAGAGAAGGTTACTGAACTATCAATACCATCTTTATACTGCAAACTATTGAAGACATATATAAAGACAAATGGTGGAAAATTGTATGCCCTTTTCGAAATTATGGGGTCTCCTTAGTACTCATAGTGTAAGTTGTTCCATGAGTAAATGTTTATGTAATATATATGAGAATGTAACGGTATGTGTCCAACTTAACTCAGAAACTGTCAACAGCCAACTCGGGAGAAAGACAAGGTTGAATTTTAAGTCCCTTTATTTTCTCTTTCCCCATGAACGAACCAGCCACTCAGATTCAAAACAACTGTACAAACGGGATTCAATTACACCCGGATATCGTACAATAATGTTTACTATTGTTTGCGGACGACGCTATTTTGCACTCCAATAAAAAATGATCTGCAGAATCAAATTCATGAATTAGAAAGTTATTGCGAAGAATGTAAGTTAACTGTAAATGGAGATAAGACAAAAATAATTGTTTTCAAGAATGGTTGAACGCTGGCACGTAATGAAGAAATCCCAGAAACAATACGTTTCACAAATACACAGGTGTATACCATCTTTCCAGGATCCTGCATGTTAACACGCATCTGTTCAAACAAAAAAGGTTTTAATAGCTTTATTTAGGAAGAAAGATAAGGAAGAGAATATATGGAGAATATCTTCCTTATGTGAGTCACTTCTAATTGCCTTTCAAAGACCTATATTTAGGAATATAAATATTCTTTTCCCCAGGTATCTTAAGATAAATCAGATGCTTTACAGGTCAGAGATTTGGGGGCTAAATCATTTGAAGAAATAGAAAAAATACTCTTATATGCCTGAAAGAAATATATCGATGTAAAGGTTAATATACCAAGTGGTATGGTCTGTGGAGAATGTGGTAGGTTCCCAATGCCTATATTCATTCACATATAATGGTTGAAATTACAAAATATACCATCACATAGATTCCCTAAGAAATGGTATTATATGATGCTACTTTAGGATAACCATGAATACAGAAAGTGGGTAACTTGTGTTATTATTGTACAGCAATGGCTCTGGGTATGTTTGGTGTGGACCACATGTAAAATGACCAGTTGAATGTATAAAATCTTTAACACCGAGGTTAAAAGATGTAAACTTGCAGAAATAGTGTCACCATGTGGCTTTATCAAGCAAATGTCTCTATCATAAAATTCGGAAACCAGACATTTACAAGGAATATTACTTATGTGATATCAACGTAAAGAAATTTCGTGTTGCTTCAGCGAGATTCCTAAGTTCATCGCACGATCATTTTTTTAAAACTGAACGACACACACATTGTTTGATAGGCATTACTTAGAAGTAGACGGAAAAAATATTAAACGTGTGTCGCCCAAAGTAGAGACAATTATGGATAACAAGTTCTTTATTTACAGTAAAAATGTCTCAACTTTGGACGACAAACTTTCAATATTTTCCTTTATTTGAAGTTTACACGATGTATGGCTTTTCCACTGGAAGAGACGCCGGTCACAAAACCGCGAAACTGACGTTGATGAGGGTATGAACGACACAAATGACGTTATATCATAACAAAACTCGCATACTCATCAGAATGTATTGTATTATGAACCAATGATCTGTGACCTCCTCACGACGGCAATGAAAGTCTTGACAAACGTTGATTGATATGGACGCTTTCAATTATGACAAGCTGTATCACTGTAAATGATGTTGTATTTAAGTTAATAAGAATATTTTGTAGGTCAAAAAACACATTTTATTCTCTGAAAGGAAGAACCGTAAAAATGTATTTTCTAAATACCACAAAACTGACAAAATATATTTTGATAATAGGTAGAGTTACTTCCCTACTCCCCTCTCACCGCCAATCCCTCAGAATATTAACAAACTTAGGTCCTTTACCATACACAAGGGTCAGCAAAAACATGAACACCGTTAAATTTGCAGTTTTAAGTAGAGAGTTGTCTCACCTTTGCGTGACCAAGCTCTTGTTTGATTGTTGCCAAAGTACGCATCTCCCATCCCGTCTTGTTGGGTGGGATATGAACATTAGCATCCGACAATCCTATGTTATGGAAATATACTCTCTCACTCCGCTTGTAGCTCTTTTGATTCATGCTGAAATGCGAACGAGTGAAACTGTGACGCACAAAGCAGTCGTACTGACGTCATGCTGGAAATCGAACCAACCGATCGTGATTTTTCGCAAGCTTGCATTGAAAATAGCACCAAGAAACAAAACAGTTACATACCTCGGATCAAATGAATGAACTTCGCATCCGTACTGCCTCGCAATCTCGTCGTCAAAAGTAAAGTCATTGTTTATCCTGAAAGATAACAACCACACCATATATACGTATCGATAGTTGACGTGGCTCTATCTTGAAAATCAACGCCTCTATTAAAAGTGAATCAAGTGAAATACTGGGATCCAGTGAAACGTGCCCCTCTGTCTATTCCGCTCTAATTGTCATTGAAGAACCTGAACTACAGTCTCACGTTCCTTTTACTGTAATGTTATAGCTCTAAATAAAGCAAGTCTAGGTTTATTTTAAAGGAAGTTGCTTGTTTCCATCAACATTATATATTTTCAGAGACTAAGAGTTAGTCTAAAAACTGAACCTGCCTGACAAGTTGGATTTACTGGGAGGGGAAATCTTGACACGTCAAGATTTATTCCTGTCATTTCTGATATAGAAAATGGATTTTAGGGTGTTGCAGTTGGTTGTGGATTGGCATTTAACGTCGTCTAGAACAGTGTAATGATATGTACTTATAGAGTTAAGTTAGGGATCACATGAGGATTGGAAAAACTCATTAGACAGCGACCACATTCAGCTGTGCCTGCCAGGAATTATTCCAAGTTGCATGTAACCAATATGTTTCCAAAAAGCATGCTGCCATAAACTTGTCACACACGCATAAACGTGTCAAGTAAAGGGCTGAGCAATTAGTGAGATCAGGGGGTTTTCCAACATAAAATTATTAAAGGGGGCGATATAAAAAACAGTGTAGTTTGGTCAAGAACAACCGTCTGGTCACTCTCAGAGAATTTTTTTATTACCCGGAAACATTCACAGAGTAGGAAATGTGAGGTGTTTAGCCGACAGAGTAGACTAGACACTTGCTGGTGGACTGTATGGTAATAGGAAGTGTTTACCCGACAGAGTAGACAAGACACTTGCTGGAGGGGCTGTATAGTAATGTGAAGTATTTACCCGACAGAGTAAACCAGACACTTGCTGGAGGGGCTGTATAGTAATGTGAAGTGTTTACCCGACAGAGTAGACTAGACACTTGCTGGGGGGACTGTATAGTAAATGTGAAGTGTTTACCCGACAGACTAGACTAGACACTTGCTGGAGGGACTGTATAGTAAATGTGAAGTATTTACCCGACAGAGTAGACCAGACACTTGCTGGAGGGCTGTATAGTAATGTGAAGTATTTACCCGACAGAGTAGACTAGACACTTGCTCGAGGGTCTGTATAGTAATGTGAAGTGTTTACCCGACAGAGTAGACAAGACACTTGCTGGAGGGGCTGTATAGTAATGTGAAGTATTTACCCGACAGAGTAAACCAGACACTTGCTGGAGGGGATGTATAGTAATGTGAAGTGTTTACCTGACAGAGTAGACTAGACACTTGCTGGAGGGACTGTATAGTAAATGTGAAGTATTTACCCGACAGAGTAGACCAGACACTTGCTGGAGGGCTGTATAGTAATGTGAAGTGTTTACCCGACAGAGTAGACTAGACACTTGCTCAAGGGTCTGTATAGTAATGTGAAGTGTTTACCCGACAGAGTAGACTAGACACTTGTTGGAGGGTTGTATAGTAAATATGAAGTGTTTACCCGACAGAGTAGACTAGACACTTGCTGGAGGGACTGTATAGTGAATGTGAAGTGTTTACCCGACAGAGTAGACTAGACACTTGCTGGAGGGACTGTATAGTAAATGTGAAGCATTTACCCGACAGAGTAGACCAGACACTTGCTGGAGGGCTGTATAGTAATGTGAAGTGTTTACCCGACAGAGTAGACTAGACACTTGCTCGAGGGTCTGTATAGTAATGTGAAGTGTTTACCCGACAGAGTAGACTAGACACTTGCTGGAGGGTTGTATAGTAAATATGAAGTGTTTACCCGACAGAGTAGACAAGACACTTGTCGGAGGGACTGTATTGCCGATCGTTGCACACTTCCCATCCACCGTCACTCAGGTGACCCAGGCGGTTGATGTTTTTACACAACACACCAACATTGTCCACAAACCTGCAGTAAAAATAAAATAAAATAGGTTAGGGACGGACAATTTGGTATTCTGGTGGGGATGGGGTGGGGTGGGATTTGTACCGCAATAATTAAATTCTTGAAAAAATAATGATGCTTCAGACTGTTGAAAAACAAAGAAATTACAAGGTGTTTTAATTAAAAGTCATTCAGGCTCATAGTTTTGAAATAAAAAGATATCTGTTTTTCTAGCTGTAGCTGGAAAATATCAACCACCCCCTGTGAAACAGACAGGTGAGAGAAGAGGGTTACCTGTGATATAGACAGGACAGATAGGTTACGTGTAATACAGACATGTGAGATAGCGGGGTTACCTGTGATATAGACATGTGAGAGAGGAGGGTTACCTGTGATATAGACAGGTGAGAGAGGAGGGTTACCTGTGATATTGACAGGACAGATAGGTTACGTGTAATACAGACATGTGAGATAGCGGGGTTACCTGTGATATAGACATGTGAGAGAGGAGGGTTACCTGTGATATAGACAGGTGAGAGAGGAGGGTTACCTGTGATATAGACAGGTGAGAGAGGAGGGTTACCTGTTATATAGACAGGTGAGAGAGGAGGGTTACCTGTGATACAGACAGGTGAGAGAGGAGGGTTACCTGTGAAATAGACAGGTGAGAGAGGAGGGTTACCTGTGATGTAGACAGGTGAGAGAGGAGGGTTACCTGTGATGTAGACAGGTGAGAGATAAAGGATACAGTCAAATGACGGGGAATATTTACCCGTGATAAAGACACGTTATTTGTTTGTGTGTTAAACTCTTTAGAATGGCATCCGGTGGTATTTCGATAAGTCCATCGTTGTTTATAAATCCGTTCAAGCAGTCTTGTTCAAGAAATATCTTGTTTTGTTCTCGCTGAAGAGAAAAGAAATAAACTTTAAAAACACAAATAATCCTTGCATATGTAGAGCGTAATATTGTAAGTGAATTGTTTATAAAATTTACCACTTTAAATCTCAATGAACGACTGTACAGAAATGTGTTGTTGACAAAGTAAATGTATACACCCATGTTTGACGATGATATATTTGATACCGGTAACATAGGGTATTTCATGCACCATATCAATGTGTATCTCACAAAGGATTGAGTGTGAGAGTGAGTATGGTTTTACGCCGCTTTTAGCAATATTCCAGCAATATTACGGCGGGGGACACCAAAAATGGACTTAACACATTGTACTCATGTCGGGAATCGAACCTGGGTCTTCGACGTGACGAGCGAACGCTTTAACCACAAGGCTACCCGACCGACCCCACAACGGATTGTGTTATGCATCTTAATTTGTCAGTGTTTCGGTGATAATGTTAACCTTTTAACGTCTTGATAACGTTTTTGGTCAAGTCCAATTTTCAAGTTACTTTCTTTTCTTGACAGTTTACATAGTTTGAGTGTGAACCCATTTGTCAAATCACATCACGCTGATCTACTGATCTATGTTAGTAAGGTATATAGAGTGGCGAAAAAATCTAAACAGTGTTAAGAATCAATAATGCCAACTTCAAGCTATAGTTTTTGTTTGTTTGTTGTTTAACGTCACACTCTTCCAAGACTCCAGCTATATGTCTATAACGTTTACTGCTTTAAAGAGCTGACAAACGAACCCATGACCATATGATCCTCCCACGACAAGCATGGGTTGCTGAAGAGCTATTCTAATCCGGATCTTCACGGGTCAAGGAACATAATCAGGGTTGGGACCTACGACAATGTGATCCTGCCACGTTTAAGGGAAAACCCGCACATCGATCCCAGCGCTACGGACAACATTTCCCAAAGAATACATATTGAATAAAAATAACTCACCCCAACCCATTCTTATCCCTTTCTCAGCTCCAGCAGCCCATATTCAACACCATTTCAGCTCGTGGAGTTCAGATATTTCAAGGTGTCTTCATACTCAAGGTTTATTTAAAGAAATATTTGAATTTAACCTTATACATGTACATAACTTTATTTCGGGAACTGTATGTTAGCCTAGTGTTGTGATACTTGTCTTACCTGATAGGTGAGGGTATTTCCAGCAGGGGGCAGGCCTTGAATAATCTTTCTAACTTTCGCGTCCAATGTTCGAGTTGACTTGTGGGAGAATTCAAACTTTTTCCAGACAACAACGGCAAGAAAGGTTCCAATTAGAAGAAAAACAACCATCCAACTTCTATGTCTAAAATGGAAAAGAAAATGTGTTTCTTTTGCTATTGTTAAAGCAGCATTTAACAAAACACAAATATATGACAGTGACCTGTAAATCGAGTCTGGACCAAACAATGCAGTGATTGATATAGCGACACATACATACATACATACATACATACATACATACATACATACATACATACATACATACATACATACATACATACATACATACATACATACACACATGCGACGGACGGACGGACGGACAGACATATGAAGCAGTACAAAACACTTACACGCAAGCAGTCACACACTAAGACACACCCACACCAACACCAGCGGTACGCCACAGGCACACACAAACCTCCCAACACTAGCAGGAAGCCAAACTCACATACAGACACTGGAATACACAAACATGAACACAAGCATGCATACACGGACCCTGCTACCCCCCCCCCCCCCCCCCCTCAACACACACACACACACACACACACACACACACACACACACACACACACACACACACACACACACACACACACACACACACACACACACACATACACACACACACACACACAAACACTCCGACACACAAACGCCAACACTAGCAGTACGACACACACACAGACGCACACACACACACAAAAGGTGGCTTACAGTTTGTAATCAGCCATCCATGTTCTTGCAAGGTGTGTTAAGGGGGAACAACTCAGGAAGTTTCACCGCAAACACGAAAACGTCGTTTTTTTCCGTATATGGTCATTGGACGGAAAAACGACTAAAAATTCATTAAAATTGATTAATTGGTTACCGTCTAGAAAGTGTCCGGAAAAGCGTCGAGTTTTTCAAGCGTAAAACGGACGGAAAAACGATGCTTTTTGCTCTGCCTTGGACAACTGTTAACGGCCAATCAGATGGCGCTGGTCCCCCGACGCACGTGATGCCCAAGGCTTCCTTTCGGAAGCATTAGGTTTCGTATTTCTGGCATGCTTTGCTCTAGTATCTGTCGCGCACAGCGAGATTTGCTGATTAGTCAGTTTTAGGATATGTCACATGTTGATGGAATTCAGACACGCGCCAAGAATTCCAACCAAACCATGTTACCAAGTTTATTGAGATAACATATCCCTCCGCTATGCACAGTTACCTCTATCAGATAATCGGTTGTGTTTCATTTGGTTATAACAGTAACTAATTTTATAATGTGAGGTTTACACGATATACGGCTTTTCCATAGGACGAGATGTGGGTCACATGACGTTTTTCACGTGACTGTATTCTTGAAATTACGTAGGCACTGACTACTTCCACATTCCTGAGGAAAACCCTGGGAATTCCCTAGTACGGATTCATACAGAAGCGTTGTTTCTCATCATTTAGACCGTATTAGCACACTCTGGGATAAGTCATAGAGTTTGGTTGCATGCCCGTTCAATGATACCCTCGCTACAAACCATCCTAGATAAAAAAAAATCCAAAAAAAAATCGTCGTGACAATCTACAGCAATCTATGAATTTACCTTAGCATCTATTTGACACATCTTTACAATCACCTTTCAATGATCGGCCAATTAATCAGTGATGACAAAGGCTTGAAATCGCCACAGGTTAATTAACAACTTCGGAAATATCTCCTGTCACGTTTATCGTGTCGGCCATTGTGACGTCTTGTACTTGATGTAAATAGAATGTATTACGACGCTCTGTCATTGTGACTGACTTACTGAGGTAGTTCTTAACAGACCTTCTCATCTAATGAGCATATAAAACAGATGTTCCTCGCTTTTGGGAGAACTATTTTATTCCGGAATGGCCTATTAAAGCTAATACTCAAGGCCATTGCGTGTATGTGATCTGTTATTATATGTGTTTAACAAATACGGTTTTGGGCGTTAATAAAATACACTGACGCAAGTATATTCTTATCAATTGGATAATTGAATATGCTTTATTTTACATATTACATAACATCACTACACAAAATTTGGACAGTTGCAGTAACACACTACTGTGATCGCATTAAACACCATTTTGAACAGTAATTCAGTTATATCACGGTGTATCAGACTGATGTGGGATAAAAATCCGAATTGGTTCAGGCCATCTAACGGGTGTTCGCGAAAAGGTGAGCGTATTCTGCCACACAGGTGGCACCCATCACAAACACATGCAAGGACACGTCAATTGTTCACCTGGACAGAGCACGGAAACACACAATGATGCCCGTCCTCACTATTACCGAGCATGTAAATTATATTGTCTGTCAAAAACATGGACGAGTATGTTCCTACAGGTATTTATGGAATACTGTAAGGGACATTCTCGCGATCTCGCATTCTCGCCATCTCGACCTTTGGAAACGAACTAAATATGCCAAAAACACGAGAATGCGTAATTTTGATACATAGCACTTTTTGTCACAAAGACATGATGAAAGATTTCGCAATCTCGCAATCTCGACTTGTCAAATTAGGTCACAAAAACACAAAATCGCGAGAACGCGAGAATGCGACATTTTATTTTCTCGCGATCTCGCGTTCTTGTTTTTTAGACGCTGTCCGTGCGCATGCGTAATATCATAAGGTCAAGGCGCATGTGCACTTCAGTAGTCATGCACAGTGGTCATGCTTCTTTCATGCTCTTCTTCTCCAAGTAGCATTTAGAAATTGTATGATTTGAGCGTGAAAATGCTATGTAATTTACATACACAAAATCCCATGTAGAGTAGAGTAGATTCCTTTCCCTTTTTTCTATGTACTTAAAATTAAAACCCTCAACATGCTAAATATAGGTTATAAAAAGAAATTGTGTACATGAATGTTTGTGGATAGTGAAAACATTAAAGTGTCCGGAAGTTGGAAACAAAATATCACTGTCAGTGAGAGAGTAAATACATCAGCAGTATTGCAGCTATTCGCGTCAGTTACAGAAATAATCACATTATTATTCATTAAAACAAAATTCTCAAAGACCAATTTGTAGCATTTGGCTAAAATGAGATTGTCCGATGTTTTTACACGACACCATGGTCGTTACTTTAGGCCATACAAAATTAATTAGTAGATTTTCATCCTTTCCCACCTGACTACAAAACATCCCGCCTTACATTATTCTATTACCTCAAATTTCCTAGAAATAGAAATATCGCTAATATGTGTGTTCCTACTCCGTGCACGTAGCCCTATTGAACACGCATGATGCAATTGTACACAGATGCCTTAAATAGTTCGATAAGAAAACAATAAGTGAGTGAGTTTGGCTTAACACCGCTTTGAACAGTATTTATATTTCAGTTATACCCTGGCTTGTCAGCTTGAAATGGGACGAAAAACGAATTGGCAGAAAAACGCGAGATCGCGAGATCGCGACATTGGTCAAGTTTCGCAATCTCGCGTTCTCGCGTATAAGCAAGTGACACAAAAGCACAAGATCGCGAGATCGCGACATTGGTCAAGTGTCGCAATCTCGCGTTCTCGCGTTTTTGAAAATAGTTACATTTAACTGCAGAGGCAATTGGCACGAGAATGCGAGATCGCGACATTGGTCAAGGGTCGCAATCTCGCGTTCTCGTGTATAACTGTATAAGCAATTGACACAAAAGCACGAGAACGCGAGATCGCGACATTGGCCAAGTGTCGCAATCTCGCGTTCTCGCGTTTTTTAAAAGAGTTGCATATGACTGAAAAGGCAATTGACATAAAAGCACGAGAACGCGAGATCGCGAGATAGCAGCATTGGTCAGGTGTCGAGATCTCGCACTCTTGCTTTTATTACGGTTTGAGTCGAAACATGCAGCGCTTGCCAATCAGAATTCTCATATATACACACAATGACATGTTATAATAAACATTCTTCATTTGCACTGGTAGTTACACTGATTAATTAATTGAATTGATTGTCTCTGAATAGTTTTTGTGTACTCCAACCCTGCATTGAAGCCTGCAGCAAAGTCGGTGAAGAACATGTTCCCTTCAAACAAACATAGGTATATTTTGATCAATGAAAAATCTTCGTGTGCATAAATGGAATCCCAAATGTCTACTTCGTTTGCAGAATTCGTTCAAGATAATAATATTCTCTGTCAATGCGTTCAACATGTACATTCATTTACATGATGTATTGACATGGTCCCAGCTGGCAAACAAGAGTTCTAAGAGCTTACTGTTTCGGCATTATAACTTCATCTATTCATCAACAGCTTCAACTGGGTGATCATTGATCCATGAATATATTCTTCACGCTATTGTCAACGTTGTCAGGAATTTGTTTTGTTGGCAAATCAAAATTGGTTATTCACCAGCATTCTCAAGCATGTTGTGTACAGCCATGTGTGGAACTGAAAACAATATTGAAATAAGGAACGTGTTCATGAGGCGACACATTTGAAAACAGTTTACAATTATAAGGTGTTGAAGATCTTCTTTGGTTGTCAACCAAAGAAGATCTTCAACACCTTATATATATATATATATATATATATATATATATATATATCCTACACCACGAGATCTGACTTGGTTGTGGCTCAGGGAAATTTGACAGAAAATCGCTACATGAATCAAATTCGTCAACCTCACCTTCTTCCAATCATTGACAATCTAGTCATATGCAACTATTTTCAAAAAACGCGAGAACGCGAGATTGCGACACTTGACCAATGTCGCGACCCCGCGTTCTCGTGCTTTTGTGTCAATTGCCTTTACAGTTATATGCAACTATTTTCAAAAACGCGAGAACGCGAGATTGCGACACTTGACCAATGTCGCGACCCCGCGTTCTCGTGCTTTTGTGTCAATTGCCTTTACAGTTATATGCAACTATTTTCAAAAACGCGAGAACGCGAGATTGCGACACTTGAGAAATGTCGCGATCTATCTCGCGTTCTAATGCTTTCGTGTCAATTGCCTACACAGATATAAATAACTATGTTTGAAAACGCGAGATCGCGACACTTGACGAATGTCGCGATATCACGATCTCGCGATCTCGCATTCTCGTACTTTTGTGTCAATTGCCCAT